CTCTGCAGTGTAATGTATTACAACAGATTACTTTACCTGTTCTAATCTAGTTTGCAGTTACTGGTATGAACTAAGCAGGAATAAATAGTAATAAATTGGTTTCCATTTTAGCTGGCAAATACGAGTCACAATTTAAGAAATCAAGTTGTTTAAACTACTTATCTGTGTAAGTTTCAAATTTATATGTACAGGGCAAATCTACACATGCACCACACTACACGGTTGTTACTGAACAGTCATTTAGTACTTGCTTAAGCTTACACTTAACATTGCTGCACGGGTCATTTTCAACACTACTGCACAGTAGCTCATTTTCACTGTGCAGTAGCATTGGCATCACAGTTCATGCCCACTGATGCTACATCCCCATAGCAATGAGCTATGGTGATGTAGCTCACTAGTACAGCTGTGTAGCATCTCATGTAGATGCACCCACATTTTAACAAACTTAACTGTGAGATTTTGTAAATATACTATGCTGGGTAACAGTGATGTTTGCTATTTCTCAGATAGAGTACCCTAGCTATCATAAAGTGTATTCTATAAAGAAAAAACAAAGAATATCCCCAGAAAGGAAAAAAAAATCAGAATTATTATTTATCCTTTAACATGTAGGCTTAGTAAAAATATGAAATGCCGTGAAAGCAATGCAACAAACTGACATATGTTGGCACTCCATTAGTACTCTATCTTCACCAAGCCTTGGTCTATTGTTACAAGGATGAACAGTTCTTTATGTATAGATTTACCTTTCTACATTATGAGCTAGATCAATTATTTTCCCTTTCTTTCTCAACAGAGAGATTCTATACTCGCACTCCCATGAAAAAGTTTGCTTGTAGATATACTCTCTCCCTCACTGCATTTTCTTGATGACCATACATTTTCCCTGCCTGAGGGCTGCGTTACACATTATACCATGAGCTACTCAAATGTTGATTGGTGTTGGTTCTAGCTCAAGTTTGGAGCAGTCATACAGTCAGGCCAGCAGAGGCTTGGAAGACTGAAAAGTACGAATTCCCCACTTCCATTTTGGGCTCCCCCCCTGCCTCCTGCTCCCCAGGGCTCTCTTAGTTCCCCTGCTTCCTGGGGCTCCACCTTTGCCTTTCAGGGTTCATCCCCACTGCCAGAGCTCCCCCCTGCCCACTTCCCACTTACTTGTGGCTAACTTCGCTGTCTCTCCTGGGGAAGCATGGAAAGAAAGGGTTAACCAACTTGCCAAGATCCCATTGCTGCTGCTGCCAGGCTGCTGCTCTTCTCTAGGCTGAGCCCAGTCCAGAGAGCAGTGGTTATGGCAGTGGTAACAGCAACAAGCCTGGAAAGCATGTTAACATTTCCCTGCCTACTCCCCCAGGATAGAGAGCACAGGCAGCCACAAGTGACCTGGGGTTGGGGGGATGCAGAGGGGCAATGAGAGGGTATCTGGGATGCTGTAGAGGGTAGGGAGTGGTGGTGGGCCAGATTGGGGCCAGCAGGGAAGGGAGAGTGAGTACAGTAGAGTGGCTACATGTTAGTGTAACACAAGTTGGGTAGCAAGGATCAGAGGTAATCCTACCCTGGAGTGACATACACAAAAATAACACATTTTGACTGCATCCTGGCTCTGCTGAAAGAATAAATAGTTGAAGTGCAATTATTCCAGCCTTATTTTCTTTAGAAGGTTTATTGTCTAAACTAACATCTGTCCTGAATGATTTTTCCCAATGTAACAGCTGCCCATATTTTGTCTTTAGGGTTTTCAGTAAAAAATAAAGGATATCGAATCTAGAATGTGCTGCTATTTTCAGTACAGTAAAGCCTTATAAGGAATAAGTGTTCTCATGAGATTTCTGGCTTGAAACCCTCTAAAAAGAGACAGGAACATAAACCTATTTTTTTAATTAAAAAAGAATCAATACCAGTTTTTTAGACAGTAATTTAGAATGTTCCTACTTTCTAGACCAAAACTAGAACAAACTATTGAAGTTATGAAGTTAATTCAGGCTACATTTGCCTTTAACCTAATTCTGTCAGACTGATTGACCTGAGACCCCCACTAATATATACGTATTACATATACATACATATGTGTGTGTGTGTGTGTGTGTGTGTGTGTGCGCGCGTGTATATTAGAGGGGGGGTTCTATATACCTGTGTGGGGGGATGTATGTGTTAATGTATATATTATTGGGGGTCTCAGCTTTAGCAGTTATACACTCTCTCTCTCTCTCTCTCTCCCTCTCTCTCTCTCTCACACACACACACACACACACACACACACACATACATACATATGCTACTATATTGTTGGGGGGGTCTCTTTAGCATAAGCCCTAAAGCTGTTTTCAAAATGCCTTAGAACTAACCACACTGACAGATTTCCTGTATTGTAGGGTTTAGATTTTGGTTACCAACAACATTCTATTTTTAAACCTATTTTTACTTCACAGTCAGTTTAACACTAAATTACATTTTGCAGTTGTTATCAAACCCAGGTATGTGTGTGGTGTTATCTCCTTCAGGGTAGAGCACTCTCCCTGACTTGGTCCAATCAATACTTTCCCTATCCTATTTTCCATCCTCACCAATCCCTTCTACAAGATTCAACTGCCTCAACACATTTTTTTAACAACAAGGCTGCTTGGTCCTGCTTCTTAACTGGCTTCTCACTTGGCATGGTCCAGCAGAGTTAATATTTATCCATTCCCTTAACAGTAGACCAGGCAGCTCCCATAAGCAACAAGGGCCCTGTCCACTTCTTTTCATTTACATTGGCTTCAGGATAGAGTCTAATCAAAGAACTCTACTGCCTCTACTACTAACATTGAGGTAAGTGAAGGAAAAGAAAGAAAAACAAACAAAAAAAAGAGGTATCCCTCTTGTGGTTTGAGGAAAGGGGTAAAAATTCCTTATGCAACTCCATATGTGCATAGGAAAAAATAATTTCCATCTGAGGATGCCAACCCCACCAGTGTGCCAGAAAAATAAGGATAAGCTTTAAAATGACAAGATCTTTAACTACTTCATTTGGACTTCCTTTGCATTTTTTCCCATTTGCCACAGTTCTTCTAAATAGAGCCAGTTTGGTTTTCTTGTAAATGTTGCAGAAGGCAAAAAAGTGTGAAAGCAGCACCCTTTGTTTAGGAATAGTGCATTACACAGCTGCTTTTTGGTCTCTTTCCTAAATAGTTGCATTTTGAACTTCTAACCTGCACAAGCCACATGGATTGCACCACACAACACCCAATTAGTTGAATATTAGTATACATTACCAAAGCCTTTTTAGGGCACTTGTAAACATGATGGTGAGACAATGTACACATGATGAAAATTTCCCTTTGTGTGGCTTAATTTTCAATTGTGTCATTTCATGGCATTTATACATACACACGTTTTGGGGGTTTAAAATTAGATCTCATTGTTATAAACTTAAAGCACATCCCAATGTAATATAGTTTGCAAAGTAGCTAGTTGTAACGATGTGGCTATAAATTTCTTGCGTACATGCAACTTCACTGAATTATGTGTACTGATCCCATGTGTCCACCAGGTGTCACTACAATTTGCAGGTATTTGTGTGTAATGAAAGTTTTAGGACAACAGTCATAGATGCAGAGCCCAACATGAATCAGTCTTCTGTTGACCTCTTTTTCTTACTTCATTAAATAAATAATTCAAAGAAACCATTTTTTGTTTGTCATTTCCTATTTCACTTGGTGTGGTGGCTGGGTGTCCCAGGGTGTGCTGGGTGGTGGAAGATCAGTGTGATCCCCATCTCTTTTGGAGATAGATCAGTGTCTGCTGTGTATATGATCCCTTTCCCCCCCTCCCTGGCTTGACCCTACCTGGTTCCCAAATGTCCCAAATGACCCCTCTGTCTGGCACCAAAAGTTGAGACACTTGTAGAGCATGACTGTTGTTCAAATTTTGCGCAGACACTACAGGGTCAGAGGGGGGTGACGTTCTGATTGTCCAGGTCACCTCAAGACCTTGTTAACTGACTGTAGCTTGACTGTCCCCCAAAATACCATTACTTCACTCACCACTTTTACATGAACCCAACAAGCAGTGTTCTGTGAACCACATCACAAAACTACAGAGTAGCCACTTTATGAATAGAGATGAGTTCTGTCACCATTAATAGTTTCATATTCATTTCCTCACCGGCTATTTCTCAAATTCACAACATTGCACACTATGTCATGCTGGAAGTGGTGTCTTGGCACATGTGTCACTGAGCAGCCTGGCACTGTTCCATAGTGTCCAGAAAGAGCATGCCTAAGAGATACACAGACTTATTACAGGTGCAACCTGTGCCCCCCTCCCTAGCTTGACCCTGTTTGGCCCCAAATGTCCCAGGTTCATAGATTCATAGGTGTTAGGGTCAGAAGGAACCTCAGTAGGTCATCGAGTCCAACCCCCTGCCCTGGACAGGAAAGAGCGCTGGGGTCAGAAGACCCCAGCTAGGTGCTTGTCCAGTCTCCTGTTGAAGACCCTCAGGGTAGGGGAGAACACACCTCCCTTAGAAGCCCATTCCAGATTCTAGGAACCCTTACTGTGAATAAGTTATTTTTAATGTCCAACCTAAATCTTCTCTCTGTTAATTTGTGGCCAGTGTTTCTAGTTACTCCAGGGGCTGCCCTAGTAAATAAAGCAGCTCCTATTCCCTGCTGCCCTACCCTGATGAATTTGTAGGCAGCAACAAGATCACCTCTCAGCCTTCTCTTGTGAAGGCTGAAGAGATCTAGGTCCCTTAGTCTTTCCTTGTAGGGCCTTGCCTGCAGCCTCTGACCATACGAGTGGCCCTCCTCTGAACCCTCTCAAGATTCTCTGCATCCCTCTTGAAGTGCAGCACCCAAAACTGGATGCAGTACTCCAACTGTGGCCTGTCCAGTGCCACATAGAGGAGAAGCACCACCTCCCTGGACTTGTTCATCATGCATCTGCTAATGCATGATAAAATGCGGTTAGCCTTGTTGATCACTTCATCATATTGATGACTTATGTTCATCTTGGAATCAGCTATGACTCCAAAATCCCTTTCTGCTGCTGTGCTGCCAATAAGGTCATCCCCCATCCAGTAAGTTTGTTGGTGGTTCTTTTTGCCCAGGTGCAGCACTTTGTACTTGTCTTTGATGAACTTCATCCTATTTCAATCTGCCCAGGTGTGCAGGGTCCCCTCCCCAAAGCTGACCTACAATTCCAAGAGGGTGGGCACTTTTCCTGGTTCACACTGATGACTCAGGCTTGAGGCACAAGCCAGACCCAAGGCTTGTGAATGCCCCATGTTGTGAAGGGGGTAGGAGGGCTTCCAGAAGGCTGGTCAGTCTGTCAGCCCAGGGCCTCCAGGAGCAGTGTTTTCACACATGGGCCACTGTTTAGCTTCATTGTGTAGCCTGCTGTTGTGCCATGCATGGACAGGGATTTTTTTGCAGTCAGTCTTTTGCAATAACAGGGGAAGTAAGCTCTGGCCCTGTTGGGTGTTTTAGGCTCTGAGCAATTAACACCTAATAGGAGTTCAATGGGTCCCTAAAGTTTGTTGGACTACTTTGTCCTTTGAGAGCTTCAGAGGAGGACTTCTTGGTAGAACAGCTGAGAAGCACAGACACCAACATGCCATTGACATTCAGCCACCCACCCCAGATATAGATTCCAAGGGATCCTGAAGGACCTCAGCTGCAGCAAGGAGGCATGAGCATCCTCCCATTTCCACACACCCCCACCTCTCCCCACATTCTTATCCCACATATCACTGTACCTTTCCCCGCTCCTGTTTTGACCGTGACAGTGGTAAGGATCCGACCATGCACCGTCTCCCCACAAATGCTCCCCTACTTTACAGTTCCATCCAAACTCCGTTTGACCTCACCCACATCGCTCCCACCCGAGCCCCTCACCCAGCCACCACAACATCAGGAACTGGAGCTGGAGGTAGAAGTGGTAAGTCTGCCATTGCAGGGAGGGGGGGAGGCTTGGACATATGGTAATAGGGGAAACCATGAAAGTATAGGGTAGGTAACGTGGGCTAGATAGGAATATGTCAGGCTAACTGCCATCTCTTTTCCAATTGCCCTCCAGCTGTGCATCACCTGAGGCCTGCTAAGGCAGTGACACAGACCCTTGAATATTCAGCCACAACAGGTGCATAGTGTTGGCTAGAAAATAATATTTAGAGGTTTGCTTTGGGAAATTGGCTTACAGGATATATATATATGCATTAGAATAATGGTTATAGCAACAAGGGGTAATTGATTTTTTTTTAAAGCCTGAATTTCATGCACAGGTTTCTTAGCCTTCAGAAGCAGACAGGGTGTCTAACCTGGGCAGACAAACAGCAAAGCCACACATCCTGGGTAAATGAAAACATTCAAACTTTATTTTATAACAGAGATAGGCCTGGCTCCAGGGCTTCAGGGCCATAGTGTCTGCTTGCAAAAAGCCTTAAGCTTTCCAGTTTTGGGGGAACAGACCAAATTATTAGGATACCAGTAAAGCCCCAAATTAGGATGTAGGCAGTGTGATGGCCACAGGAAGACCAATCAGTGATAGCCACAGATCAAGGGTCATCAAGAGTCATCAGGAGTCACCAGAAGAAGAAAGAACACAAAAGGAAGAGTTTTCAAAACAGCAGGGGGAACAGTTGGCATCAGCCCCTGACCTCTGAGGTTGCTGACATTGGACACTCAAGCAAAGAACCTCAAGGCGGTGTTTACATACTAGCCAGACAGATTACTCAACTTGTGTATATTCTGGGACTGGGAAATTTGAGTAACGTATGTTGTACTTGCTTTGCCTGCATTGCTTTTATTTCCTATCACTGTGTATCAAGTGGCAGGGGTTGTGGTTGATCTGAGTGTTGTGCTAGCCTGGAGCAAAGGTATCAGGGCTGGGTCGTGAGTCCAGTGCCAACACATATATATGCCCAGAGAAATATTAGGAAAATCTCCCATGGAAGATTCCATACCCTATAAGAGGAGGTGAGGAAAGTGAGTTTGAGAGTATGGCGAAACCCCACATCCTTTTTCTTCCCTTGCAGCATAACTGTCATTTGCTTGCTGAGTCAAGCAGTGATCCCTCCCATTCATCAGAAGAGGGATGCCCCTGCTCTGCTGGGACTCATGGTGCAGCAGGAATAGAAGAAATCCATTTTTTGAGAGGGCAAAAACTTTTAAGGAGCTATTTTACAACTTTCTTTTTATTTTTTTCTTTGTAGTTGTGGGGTAGAGGAGTTTTACATGTTCTCTGTTTTGTTGTATTGGCATTAATTATATTTGAATTATAAATAATAATGGGGTAGGGGAGGGGTCAGAAGAGAAAAAAGGGGCCTTGAGCTCAGCTTGTGCATGCAATCTTGCCCAGATGCCTGCAGACCATGCAGGAAGGAAGTGGCACATCCCAACAGTAAGCTGCATGCCAGTGTCTGCAGGGCTAAAAAAATCCATAGCACAAATTCCCAGACTTTTTCCTGCTGGCAGGGGGCAATCCCTGCTGCTCCCTGCTGCCTCATGCTGCATCTTGCAGAGCCCCCCATAGCCCCAAGGCTGCTGCAGGAGCAGTGAGTCTCAGGGCTTTTCTTGTTTAGGTCTAAATGCTTCTTTTCTGGTCACAAGATATGCTGAGTGCCTCTTTTTAGAGCAGCAATCATCCTTAACTCACTTTATTTACCGCATTTCTTTTATTTTCAGCTCTAATTCCAATGCCACCACCAAAGACACACAGGTAACCAAAGCAGGCTGTAGCCAATGCAGGAACCGACAGGCTACTGATTGCCCTCAGGGAATGTACATGCACAGGGGATGTGAGCAGTGGCTGTGAGAGCTGGTCAGACAGGTCCATCATGCTATGGGAAGCATCATGGCTGTCCAGCATGGCAGGAGCCATGCAGAGTCCAAAAGGCATTCCGAGACCCAGCAGGACCAGCAAATAGTAACGGGCATACTGGAAATGATTTTGTGCCTGGTAATCATCAGCCCTGGCTGGCCCTGCACCTGCCCCTGTACCTGCCCCTTCCAGGGAGCAGCAACAGCGGGCACAGATTGGCATTCTGCAATCCAATAGTTCTCTGTCAAGCTCTGAATGAAAGTTCAGCTAAGGGCCAGCTTCTTTTAGTTAGAATTGATCATTGATTTTTTTTTTACACAATTCAGGTGCTGTTATAGTAAGAGGGACATTATAGTAATTGTTATAGTAATGGCACTGTTATTGTCATTGTGTCTTTTAACTATTCATCCACTGTTATAGTAATTCATAGTAGTTCATACTGATTATAAATTGCTATCTTAAAGGAATTGTTTGTGGTTTGTTTCCTTTTTACATTTTTTGTTGGTTGTAAATAAAGGTATCTACTTGATTTTCTGGATTTCTTACTTTACATTGTCTTTTTTTAAGAGGGGGACTGTGGATGGAGGGGTGTTGCTAACTTGTGGAAGGTTGGAGGGAAGTTGTTTGTTGACCTCAGGTTAACATGATGCTGGTCTCTGGTCACAATAATCAAATCTCAGGACTTGAAAGGCCCAGCTTCTCCACTGTGTCCAGATGTTGGCCCTACCCAGGTAAGAGACAGAAGCCTTTTGCACAAGTTTGCAACATGACAGAGATAAGATGGTCTGCACCAGGGGCCCTGCACTGCCCAACCTCAGATCAGAGGTCATCAGTGTGTGGGTGCCCAAGTAACATTGTAACCTGTCCAGATGGGTGGGGCTGTGCCAGGTGGCCACCGGCTGGGCCACCTGTCCCTGCTCAATCCCTTGGAGTGGGTAGACTGCTGTGCGGCAGCTGCAGGAAGCCTGCCTGCCTTTCCCCCTTTAGAGTGCTGCAGCAACAGATCCCGTTGCTCCCCCCCATCCTGCAAGCCAGCCACTATGTCCCCACTGCCATGCTGCCACACAGCCTATGATGCCTGGGCTTGGGGCATGTGGGCTCCCAGACAAGTGGGGCAGGGGGTGGCTATGCTCCTGCCCTCCCTGCAAGCAGCCTCTCCAGGTAGGCTCAATGGGGCCACCACCCCCCATTCCATTGCTGTGCCCCTAGTGTGCCCCTGCAGCACCCCTAGTGTGCTCCTGAAGCATGTTGCCCAGCCAGTGCACAATGATCTGTTTTTGCTGGCGGAGGGGTGCCTGAGCCTCTAAGAGAGGGATCACTATGCTCTGACCAGAGTCACCAGATGTTTTCTACCCACAACTGAGAGCAGTTATACAAACATTTGAATGGAACCTTTTTGTGTAGGTCTGATCTGCAATTTGTTCATCCCTATATAGGTCTGAACTGTGTCTTAGTACTGGCACTTATGCCAATCTACTCAAATGACCTTTCCTAACAGAACACCATTGAAATCCATAGTCTTCCCAATTTTCCCCCAGATGCACCCATTGTCTAGAATGATAGGTCTTAATGGCTGTCTGCCAATGACACCTGCAATTCACTGTCTGCCTGCAATGCAGCTTGATTGAAAGGAATTGCTTCCCGCCCTTCAAGCACCCTCCCCCTTCCCACGCCTCCACACCACAATGTCCAACCTATCTGTCACTGAACTATGCTCCTGGGGGTCTGGGTGGGGAGGGCTGGGAAACTGAGGTTCTTTGAGATACTCTTCTTCTTTGTGCCTTTTTTTTTATCACTGAGCGCTTGATGGACCCCCCCCCCAAAAAAACCCCCAAGTTCTTACAAGATAGGCAGTGCTAATGGGACCTATTTAGAAAAGGGCATGGTGACCACACACCCACCTTTCTTCCCCTGGCTTCTGCTGGATTTCAGGGAATTACTCCAGTGAAAATTCATGGCAGGTCTTGTCATTTTTCTGCTAGGCACTATGTTCTGCACTTCTGTGTGGATGACAGGTTTCTAGAATCATCTGACACCCCCAAGTTTTTACTGGAAGGGTGTTTACAGGAACCTGAGCTGTGTAGCTTAGGAACTGCAATTTAAAGAACATGACTTTTATAATGCTAATGACCCTATTCAATAGCCCTATCTAGTCAACCCCCCAAGCACAAGCAAGAGGTGCTCCAAGGAGACAGTTTGCTATAGAACCAGGGGGCTGTGGGTCAGGAGAGAGGGGCACTGGGAAGGCTGGGGTGCAGGGTGCTGTGATAGAGGAGAGGTACCTGCAGGGCTGGAGATGGGAGGCAGGG